ATCAAGAGCCATTACCAGCAAGATGAAAGATGTTACTGATCCCAAATAATGAACAAAGAACATTTGCGTAAAACAGCCATAAAATGAAATAACACTATTGTCAAACCAATATTTTGACATGATTTTTGGCAGTGTCACAGTGCCAAATGTCAAGTCATTCAGGGCCAGGTGACAAAAGACCAGATATGTTGGCTTTTGCAGGGACTTTTCATAGGCAACAAATGATAAAATGAAAATGTTCCCCAATGCAATTGCTAGGTAAACAAAAAAAAGAAAAGTTGATATGGGTCCATAATACTGTGGTGAAAGTCCAGGAAATCCAAGGATGAAGAAGCTTTTCATCCTTGTTACATTGGTGATCATAATTTCAGTAACAAATTTGATTAGAGCTTTGAAATATTGATATGAGAATATACTACTAACATGCACTATAACATTTATACATTAATCATTTTCCAGAAATCATTAAAAAAAGCTATTTAAAAGGTGGTCTTAGAAAAAAGCAATTAATTAGATGATCTCTGTTACATACTTTGAGTATGGCTTTTGCTTCTGATTGCAGCTCTATATTCAAAAGAGTGTCTGGGTGGTAGGCAGCATCCATCTTTTATGAGGTCTGACCTGTTGTATCCTCAATGGACACCCTTTAGCACACCCTTCTCTCTTCCTGCTAAGCTAGCTTGTGATAAATTATTCTTGGTCAAAAAGTGCTGTTCCCTGAAGATTTGGCAGTACATTGGCTGCAAAATTCCATGCCAATAACTGAAGTCTGGAGAAACGAGTACTAAACAAGAATGTACATAAGTAAAGTAAGTCAGTAAAATTTTATTTATATAGCACCTTTCAAGATAAAATCACAAAGTGCTTCACCAAAGCTAAAACATAAAAACAAAAATCAGCCAAAGGCAAGTTTAAAAAGATGAGTTTTTAGCTGTTTTTTAAAAGAGGTGAGTGAGTCCACAGATCTCAAACTCAATAGGAGAGAGTTCCAAAGTCTGGGGGCCATAGTTACAAAAGCTCTGTCACCTTTTGTTTTCAGCCTCGTGTGCTGGACAACAAGCAAGCCCTCATCACATGACCTCAGGGGCCTGCTGGGGATGTAAGGATGTAAAAGATCACTGACATATTTTGGTGCTTGTCCATGCAGAGTCCTGAATGTCAAAATCATAATCTTAAAGTGGACTCTGAATTTTATGGGGAGCCAGTGCAGCTGGATCAGCAGGGGTATGGCATGGGAGTACTTGATAGACTTGGTCAAAGCCTTGTGGCAGCATTCTGAACATCCTGCTGATGTTCCAAGGAGGTATTACATAAACAGGTGAACAAGGAATTACAATAGTCCAAATGAGAGGAAACAAATGCATGAATGATCATTTTCAGTTCAAAGCATGAAACAATAGGACTCAGCTTCGCAATGTTTCTTAAATGGTAAAAACAGGAGCGGACCAGAGATTTAACATGAGCGTCCAATGTCAGAGCTGGGTCAAAAGTAACACCAAGATTCCTAATAGAAGATTTTGCAAATAAACCAAGAGAGCCTAAAGATAGAAAGACGATGATTATTAAAAAGGTTTTATAATAAATCAACATTGTTATAGGAATGTAAAAATAAATTAACAACATCAGAAAATCAAAAAATCACCTTCCATGGCTCTAAAACATTGGAAGCATCAGTGCCTATCAGTAGCTCCACCTCTGCATCAATGTCGTGAAGTTTAACAGGTTTAAGATGAGGCCACTGATCAATGTTGCCTTGCTGGGGAATATTGACTGTAGAAACTGGCATGGTCTTTTGAGTCAAAACATCTGGCAGCGGCATGAAATCATTTGCTTCCAAACCAGACAGAACTTGTGCACTAACAATCCTATCTTGACTCATTATTCTCAAAAGGATATTGGTCTTTTTACCTTTTAGATTCAGTCTTTTTGCCAGGGTTTCTGTACAGAATGTACCTGAACTTCAAGGATCCAGGATTTCTTTTGTTTGACAGACCAAACATCCCACAATTAAAAGTCCATAAGCCACTGCTGCACTGAGATAATATTTCGTACGCAGGCAAAAGAAGTCCACTGTCCAAACTTGAAAGTTGCGTTTTTATGATTTATTTTATCCAGTTTGGCAAGCAATAACAAGATCCATTTTTGTTACTTCCTGCTGCTTCTCCTGCTCTGGTAAAAAA